TTAGGGTTTAGGGTTTTAGGGTTAGGGTTTAGGGTTTAGGGTTAGGGTTAAGGTTTAGAGTTAGGGTTTAGGGTTTAGGGTTTTAGGATTAGGGTTTAGGCAGCATCAGCATGTCACACTCTGTGTTTTACAGTTGTGGCATAATGACCTAAAGAAGTTTCCCAAAGACAGACATTTTCTCAAATTCCTTCTGACACGAAAAGTGATTTAATATTAAATAAAGTTGTTGTTTTTTAGGTCGGTGCAAGTTTCCTTTTTTCCTTTTGACATGCTGTGAGACTGTTTCATGTCTATGAGGTTAAAGTGCTTTAATCACAGCTGTATAAGCCTGAATCAGATCTTTTACTGCGACATCTACAGCCACGTTGTTCGTTGTTTACTGGTGCTGAACACAATGAAACCGTAACTGACCACGAATCCACTGTCAGGAAACACTTATGTGGGGACTGATGTATAAGGACGGACTTGAACAGATGGTTTCAGATGTGTGAGGACGGGAAAAACCCGCCTGCAGCTGAAACAAGGAAACAGAGATCAGGCAGTTGTTTGGTAGCGTCTGCTGTGCAGCACCGATACACCTGCCACAGCACAGGCAGAGGCACAGCGATGAAACCCTGTCGTTACAGACTATGATGGTGTTTGATGAGCAAATTTTCCCTGTTATGGGACCACAGGCTGACCTCTGGTTGAAGATCAGAGCTAGCGGGCCTGTGTGACAGCATGACCCGGCTTGTTGGGGTCTGCTCACGAGGCACATTGCTGTGTTATCAGTAGAAACAGCAGCCTGAGGGATGGAGCAGTTTGTGAGTGACGGTTGGCTGGATGACAAACCGCCTTAAACATCTGAGCAGGTTTTAATATACAGCCTTAAGCAACAGATGAAGACATCAACAAACAGTTTAAAATGAGAACTATTCAGTAACGTTGCCTCCTTCTGTTAACCTGCACGGAGACAACCCAGGCTGGATGAGGACCAAGCAAAGTCCTGGTAAAGAAAATCACTGCTGTTGTGCTGCGATACTATACACAGGACTGAAAACAGCTGTTTGAGCTTAAGCTCAGCTTCCATACCACATATCGTATTTAAATATGAACGCGTGATCTTAAAATCTGCTGTCATGTGTTGTCATAATCACACACTTGTTTAGGGATTTTTTTTCTTGGCTAATCATCTTGTAATGTTATCCATACATGGAACTGAGTCAGCGGCTCAACACGCCCACTCCTAAACACAGCCTATATAACAGCCGACTGCAGCACAGACACACATCACGCTTGGAGAGGAAGCATGAGGTCACTCGGTGTGTGTGTTGTGGTAACCCTGGCTGCTGCCGTCGGCTGCGTGCCGCTATCAGACGTCACTGTGGAGGATGAAGGATTTGCAGAGGTATGTGTGTTTGATTTGCCCTCTTCTGTCGTCTTTTTCTTCAACACTAGTAACCATGGACTTCTGGGTTTTAAAAATTGTGATGAAATTCTTCTTTCAGAGCTACCTGAAGAAATTCTTCAACCTGACAGAGGAGAGGAGTCCAGTGGGTCGACGGGGGATCAGCCCCGTGACCAGGAAGCTGAGTGACATGCAGAGATTCTTTGGCCTCCACATCACGGGGACTCTGGATGCCGACACCCTGACGCTGATGAAGAAGCCCCGCTGTGGCGTTCCAGACGGAAAGATGGCCCGTTTCTCCACCTTTGGAGGCGACCTCAAGTGGGACAAAAACAGGCTCACGTACAGGTGAATGATCTCAGCAGACAGTACGTGCAAGTGGTCATTTTAAAACTCTGTCTAATGATAATTTGGACTAATTTCTGTTGAACAGGATCGTGAACTACACACCTGACATGTCTGCAGCAGAGGTGGACGACTCCATGGACAGAGCTCTGCAGGTTTGGGCCAGAGTTACTCCTCTGAGGTTCTCAAGAATCTACAGTGGTACCGCTGACATCATGATCTCCTTCGGTCGCCGGGGTGAGCACAATGCCATTCTGTTGTTGTCTTATTTTTCAACAACTGAAGTAAAATTGAAGTAAAAATACCAAGTCTTGATCCTTGTTATGGTGTATTATTGCAGCATCATATATGTACACTGTTTTTCTGTACAATGCAATGAGGAAGAAGTCTACCGTAGCATCAAATGAAAACCTTCAAGTACCTCACACAAGCACTTAATGTGCAGTACTTGAGTCAGTGTTGTGAGGTTTTTATGGCTGTACTTTGTAAATAAAAGTCCCATAAAAATAAAGCAAATGACATGTATTATTCTAAGTATGGTATCTATTTCTGTGGAGCTTCTGCCATCTCTGCCATACGACACGCTGTAGGGTGTATGTGAGTGCTTCATGTCTACCAGCTCCGTTGGATCATGTATGTCACTCCACACAACAAAGACACAACCATTCCACCGATGACAAGCCGGTGCTTGCAGCTTCCATCTCAGAGCATTGTTTCTCCCTTTGCAGCATTTTGACGTTTAGGAAGGCGGTGAAATGTGTGTTTACTTCAGCACCAGTTAGTGGGTGTGATATCCCAAAAAGCATTTATGCAGGAGACACAGTTTTGTCTTGTGAAGTCTAAACAGCACTGAGATGCACCTTGGACATCCAAAGCCAGGCTATAAAAGCCAACCTGTGTTCCTGCTGACAGCACATGGGGATTACTACCCCTTTGATGGACCCGATGGCACTCTTGCCCATGCCTTCGCCCCGGCTTCCGGCATCGGAGGAGATGCCCATTTTGACGACGATGAACCCTTCACATTTCGCTCAAACTCAGGTGAGTTGGTCATTTATGCCATGCTTAAGCAGCCATATCACAGAATAAAGTCCTGTGACCCATCTGTCACGCTGTGCTGTCTTCTCCAGGCTACGTCCTCTTCATGGTTGCTGCTCATGAGTTCGGTCACTCTCTGGGCTTGTCTCACTCTGATGATCCTGGTGCCCTCATGTATCCTGTGTACTCGTACAGAAACCCCGACACCTTCGTGCTGCCACGAGATGATATCAACGGCATCCAGTCCCTCTATGGTTGGTTCATCATTGTCTCCATCATTGCTTCTGTGTTGCTACTCTGTGCTTTGTTGACTGCGATGCAGGGCTTTCTATATGCTGGCTTTGTTTCACCTCCAGGTCCAAACCCTGACGTAGATCCGCGTGAGCCTAGACCTACAGCCCCCACCACCCCTGACGCCTGCGACTCAACCATGGTCTTGGATGCTGTGACCACTCTGAGAGGAGAGATGCTCTTCTTCAAGGACAGGTATCAGATATACTGCGCAGTAGAGTCCAACACCCTCTTAAAGTCTGAAAAGGCTTGTTTCCAGTAACAGTTGTGTTCCTGTTGTTTCTCAGCTTCCTCTGGCGTAGCTACCCTCAGAGCAATACCCCTCAGCAAACTCTCATCACAAACTTCTGGCCGAGTGCCCCAGTCAACATCGATGCTGCCTATGAGAGCCGACAATCTGACAGAATTTTTCTCTTCAAAGGTACATGTCCTCCCCACTTATCGAAGGCACTGATTCCATTTCACAGTTAGCATGAGTCATGTTTATCATTTGCCTGCAGGTCGTAGAGTGTGGGCCTTCAGCGGCTATAGGGCTGTACCCGGCTATCCTAAAAAACTGAATGCTTTTGGTCTGCCAAAAAGCGTGAGAAACATCGACGCTGCCCTCTACGACGTGGAATCTGGAAAAACTCTCTTCTTTGTCGGCGACTACTACTTCAGGTGTGTTAAAGTATTTCTGTGGTTGACGTGAACCAACCTGTACTCTTTACTCTGACTGAATGTGTCTCATTTCTGTCTGTGTTTCTTCAGTTATGATGAGGCTAGAAAGTCTATGGACCAAGGATTGCCCAAACGGGTGGATCAGACCTTCACTGGCCTGACCAGCAAGGTGACGGCAGCTTTCCAGTACAGAGGTGAGTCACGTTCTCTGCCACGTCAAGACCACTGAAATGAGAGGATGGTGTTTAAACAAATGGCTCAGTCCTCCATCCATATTTTCAGAATTCAAATATCTGCAGTTTTGTGAAACACACTTATTTGCTGTCGTACCGACAGTTGGATAAGAAGATTCACTTCTCACCGAATTCTACTGGTCACGTCTGTAGGTTCAACACAGCAAGTTGTAATGTTCTGGTAGATTGAGTGCCTTTCAAAGTCACGATGATGACAAACCTCCAGAAAATCACTGCACCTGTCCAAGAAATAGTCCACGTCAGGGACTCGTAATATTCATCAAACCGCTCCAGTGACGTCTTTCCGTCATTCAGACATGTTCTTCACAGCTTTATTTAGATGTGACTGAAGGAGTTAATGAGAAATAAAACACTGAACCTAAACTCATAGCAAGCTCATCAAACTGTCTAAATAAGTGTGGATGGCTCAAAATCAGCCAATCAAGCAAGTTCACTGTTTGACGACTAAACACTACCTGCTGGAAAGCACACAGGAGCCTTTCTTCTGGTTTCTGCGGGACCGTGTTGAATCAGCCAATCTGTGAATGTGACTTCACAAATGTGACAATGCAGCTCAGACTTGTGCTGAAGTGATGCAGAAACACTCCGAGGTGTGAACAGAGTGCAGATGCTGTAGGTTAGGGTTAGAGCTAGTGTAGCAGTCTAGTTCAGGTTGTTTCTGTACTTCCACATCCTGGATGACTGAGAATCTGCACAAACACTGGTTTGCAAATTTTGTTTGACAGAGTCGTCTCACGTTTAGCTTATTTAAACCTCCACTGACAGCGTGGATCAGTCGTCTCATCTAAATCTCTGCCAGAAAGAGAATATATAATGTGTAAGTTGAACCAGAAACTAAGTGTGAGCCTCTGTTGTGCAGGTTTCAGCTACGTCTACAGCGGACCCTACATGTTTGAGTACAACCTGAGGACCGGGAGGTTGTTCCGTGTGCTGAGGAACAGCTACTATCTGCGCTGCACCAACTTTTAAACTGTCTGATTTGAATCGTGGTGGTCACTCACATAGAGGAAGAATGAATGTACAACCACAGTATTAAACTTTTTTAATGATTTCTGTTCTAGAAATGATGTTTTCTACAATTATTTCTATCACATGTATGCAGAGCTGTAACCAAAGTATATAAGACTGCATGAATAAAGTCTGGTGTTGTTTTTCATAGTTGTCTGCGTTTCTCTTTAGATGAACAGTGAAGAAGGCTCATTATTGTCATGAACACATGAAACGACGACAACAATCATAAACTATGTTTGCATTCTACATTAATTTGACAGTGTAGTTTTTTAAAGCTGAAACAACTTACTCAGATTGCTTTGCATGACTTTAGACTGTGGATGGCTCCTGCTCTAACCTCCATTTATCTAGTACACAGACTAAAGCCAGTGCCCAGGAGTATCCAGTGATGGACATCTGGTTGTTCTGTTTAAGCATACATGTAAAAACCAATCAGAAGAAAACAATTTGATCAATGAACCAATGAAAGTGTCTTAATAAGACACTTCCATGTGATGCATTATGGTAAATATAGTAAAGACAACTGTTAGAAACTCTGGCTTGACTTATAATCGACACCATTGCTGCTGCCTGGTTAAATACACATGTACATGTGGACCAGCCTGCAGCCACTCGTGTTGTCTGTGTGTCCTGAAGAAGCTGCAAACTGCTGCAAATGGGTTAAACAGCCCAGCGAGGACATGTCAGCACACTGGCAATAAAAAACACTTTAGTCCAAGGAGTACCGTTGATTGGAGAATAATCCTAACCCTAACCGTTTCTCTCTACAGGTAAAACTATTTTCTTCTGTTCACAACCTCTTGTCGTCTCTACTTACTACAGCCTGAATCATGATCCTGTAAATAACAAGACCGACTTTAAAGGAAGAGTTCTGCCCAGAAGGAACATTCACTTAGTGACTTAGAATACATACAGGGTCAGAAACACACACACACACACACACACACACACACACACACACACACACACATATATAATTTTTTTTTTAATCCATCCAAATGTGTCCTCCCCTCTACACCGTCACTCATGAAGTTGGAACAGTGGTTGTTATCAGACACATTCCTCTTTCTATTTCTACACATCAGTAATCCCTTCTGACCAGTGATCACATCCAGAGTCCCAGTTAGCAGGTGGAACCGGTTCTGACTTCAGGATGTGACTGCAGAGTGGGACGTCCTGCCCGCTGACTCCATCAAGCAGCTGGTGGACAGAACGCCACCATGTCTGAACCCTGATCCATGTCAGGGGGCCAGACTCAGTATTAGTGACATCTAAAGAGTGATGCTGGACGTTGTGATGCATGAACATGTGTTTCCTGTTATATGACCAATAGGATGAACTGAAACAAAACCCTTCATCCTATTGGTCAATACCCCCAGTTTAGTTTAATCCTGAACACACAGTTTGAAAAGTTAACTGTGGTTTAATTGTTACTGTGTTGTATGGATATTGTGATATCAATAAAGTTTTGAGAAGATGTACGGTTTATCTATAGAGAATAAATCACACTGTCACAATCATGTCATGAGAAGAGGGAAAAGAAATATGTTATTCCAGCTGTTTGTTTTCTAATGTGAGAAAAAACAATAAAGATGCTCACCACTGTTCGCAAAACCAGAAATATTTAGTAAAGCTTCTAAAGCACCCTTCAAACAAAGTGCTTATCACAAACCAAAAAATAACCATCAGCCTACTGATGAGTAGCCTGTTGCCATTGAATCAAACCATTTATAAGGATTCAGCTTCTGTGCTTCAGTGATTTGGTCCATACAGTCCTTAATACTGTTCCAGATTTCTGCCACTTGCCCCATGGATATAAATATAGATCCAGTGTTAAAGGAACTGCGCCTGCAGTTCAAAACGAAAGTCTGAGGTGTACCAACATTATATAACAGGAGAACACAGACAAGCCTTCATGTTGACTCTTATCTGAAATCAACAAACACAATCCTGTCGGCAGGTTTCTGATCTTCATCGTGTTCATGCAGGTCCAAACTCCTCCAGCTGTCGACCTTACATCACCTCCTCCACCTTCCAGCACTTATTATCTCCCTCCTGTTGCTCTCAATGGGCCTGTTCAGACATTTGCAGGAATGTTTTATTGCCCAGTCATGCAACTTTCTCTGCTCCCCTGCATCCACATACAAAAACATTGAAATTGGAAGTTTCCGGAAGTAACCAAGTAGTTCATTAGAGCTCCCAAGCCGAGCAGAACATTAGTGAAAGGATTAATAAAGTGACTGGAGGTATTTCTTGATCTCCGAAAACAAAAAGAATGATGGCGGCTGCACAGGCTGTTAAAGCCGTGATGCTGGTGATGACTGTGGCGGTCTGTAGAGCGGTGCCCCCCACTGCACCCAGCCAAGAGGAGCTCTCCAAAGCCCAGGTAAACAGGAATTAGAGCCTCATGCACCACTTGTTGCTGGTATTTGTGTGCTTGTTGTGAGTGTAGTGGTAGATTACAGGGTTTTCTCTTTCAACCTTGTCAAAAAGTAAATATACAAACAATTCTGAGTTAGCTTTACAGCATTGAATCATTGCCGTGATGAGTGACGATAATATACATGGTGTAAAAACACTTTAACTGGTATGGTGAACACTGCAGTCTTCTAACAGGTGTGTCGCCTGCGTTGCACAATACAGACGAGATTTGTGCTGTGATGCAGAAAACTGTTCAATAATCGTTTTGTTTGTAGAAGGTCCATGAACAAGTCTGACTGATCTTCACCGCAGGACGTTTCTATATGTCATGTTCACTAAATACGGGGCTTTCTCAAGCACATGCTCAAGTTCTATTTTTAGATATGCAGCCAAAGTAAACGACGAAGTGGCTGTGCTGCCTTTACTGGTCTAAAAGCAATTTAAGCAGAAGTTTAGAAAAATGATGTTTTTCTAAGAGGTAAAATGAGCCTAAAAACACACTGAGATTGAGATTACTTCAGATTGTGGTGGTGATATGGTGATACCTGTGGTCACTGGTGGTAAAAGCAAGTGGGTGCAGATGGCAGAATACTGGGGAGTTGGGCGGCGACTTCTGGCAGAAATACGAAAAGACGCTGAGCTGATTTCATGCCGAGCACAGTGTGATGAACAACATGAACAGTAAACTGCATGTGTGGCATCAATGAGCTATAATGACAATGTTTAACACTGGATTGCAGACATGCGTGACTCAGTGGAGGGAGAGCAGAGTCCTGAGCACAAAACCATTCATAGAAATACAAATCACTTAATGTAAGTATACTGAATGGCTAATGCAAAACAACAACAACAACAAAAACATAATAATAATTCCCCAAACCCAATGATGTTGGGATCTTTACTTGAATTTACACTACAAATTGCAAAATAACACACTGCTGCCCATAAAGCTGGAATAACATATTTATTTTCCCTCTTCTCATGACATGATTGTGACAGTGTGATTTATTCTCTATAGATAAACCGTAAATCTTCTCAAAACTTTATTGATATCACAATATCCATACAACACAGTAACAATTAAACCACAGTTAACTTTTCAAACTGTCTGTTCAGGATTAAACTAAACTGGGGGTATTGACCAATAGGATGAAGGGTTTTGTTTCAGTTCATCCTATTGGTCATATAACAGAAAACACATGTTCATGCATCACAACGTCCAGCATCACTCTTTAGATGTCACTAATACTGAGTCTGGCCCCCTGACATGGATCAGGGTTCAGACATGGTGGCGTTCTGTCCACCAGCTGCTTGATGGAGTCAGCGGGCAGGACGTCCCACTCTGCAGTCACATCCTGAAGTCAGAACCGGTTCCACCTGCTAACTGGGACTCTGGGACGGGATTACTGATGTGTAGAAACAAAAAGAGGAATGTGTCTGATAACAACCACTTAATGGGCTGAATAAATTACTGATCAGCCAAATTCACCATATATGTAGTTTTATCCATATGTGAGGATCGTTTACGTCTGTTCTCTTTGTTCAGAACTATCTGTCTGAGTTTTTCTCAGATGTGGGGGTCAGCGCTCCCGACACTGTCCGGCGCAGCTCTCTGGACTCTTTTGAAGACACTCTCAGAAAAATGCAGGGGTTTTTTGGCCTGGAGGTGACGGGGCAGTTGGACACCAACACTCTGGCAGTGATGGACCGCTCTCGCTGTGGCGTCACCGATGTGGCCAGATATGGCTACTTTGACGGCCAACCAAAGTGGGACAAGACTGTCATCACATACAGGTAGAATCTATCACAGAACAACAAGTCTCTGCATGCAGGTCAGCCAAACATAAAGCACAATAAAGCCCATGTTGTAAGCCATTTCCATTCTCACACTGCTGTAGAATAACTCAGTACACACCAGACTTGAGTCAAAGTGATGTGGATGCCACCATCGCCAACGCGCTGAAGCTCTACAGTGACGTCATCCCTTTGGATTTCAAACAGATCGACAGCGGCACTGCTGACATCATGATCCTGTTCAAGCCTCGAGGTAATTCTGTTCCTTCTGTGCTATAGAGACAGCGCTTGGCTTAGTGTTAACTGTTCTTCTTCAAACCAGAACATGGAGATTTCGCTCCATTTGATGGAGAGGGTGGGGTCTTGGCACATGCATATTCACCTGGTGAAGGTCATGGAGGCGACACCCACTTTGATGAAGATGAAAACTGGACTCTAACCTCAGCAGGTGCAGATTTTAAGCAAGCATTGCTCTAGCTGTTTATGCACCCACACTGACTGTCAGTATGTATCTACAGGATCAAATCTGTTCTTGGTGGCTGCCCATGAGTTCGGCCATGCACTGGGATTAGCCCACTCTCAGGTCCAGACCGCCCTGATGCATCCCACCTACCAGTATGTGAACACAGTGGGGTACAAGCTGCCAGATGATGACAGGCAGGGAGTGCAGGCTCTCTATGGTGAGAGTCCAGCTCATCCACACACCCACACCTGTAACAGAAAGAAAGTAGACATCATCAAGGCTGTGACAAACTCTCCTACTGAGCCTCTTCTTATATTTCTCTCTTTTGCATGGCAAAGGTGTCAGAGTATCATCAGATCAGCCCACAGCTAAACCAAAGCCACCACCCAGGCCAGAACCAGAGCCTGTTCCAGACAGGTGCAATAGGAACCTGATTTTTGATGCTGCAGCATCCATCCAGAGGAATCTCTACTTCTTTAAAGATGGGTGAGACTCGGCCCTATTTTTCTATTTAGTCATCTAAATGTCACACAGTCATGCGGCGTCATCATTTAAGGCTGCAATGTTTCTCTGTCAGATATTTCTGGAGGAGGAGCAGCTTCTGGGGGGGCATCAGTACGAGGAAAATCCCATCTGTCTGGCCTGGAATCAGCAAAGTTGATGCTGCTTATGAGTATAAGAGGCAGAACACTGTCATTTTCTTTGAAGGTACAAAATTAGTAAATAATTCATCAGAAAAAATATTTTGTTGTTGATTAAAAATGACAAAACACTGAAACCTTTTTCAAACCCACAGGGGATCGTTACTGGGGCATCAGAGGAAACACTGTCCTACCTGGTTATCCCAAACCTCTCAGCGACTTCGGCTTCCCTTCATCTGTCACCAAGGTAGACGCTGCTGTTCATGTGTCATTTATAAGCAGAACTCTCTTCTTTGTGGACTACAAGTACTGGAGGTGAGTGATGTGAACACTTATGGGCTGTATCCAGATATGGCAGCTTGTATGTGTTAATGAATACTCCTCCTAATATTCCTCATATAGCTACAATGAAAGGAGGGGCAAAATGGATCGTGGGTTCCCAAAATTCATCCACAGAGAATTCCCGGGGATTGGCCCGAGAGTAGATGCTGCTTTTGAGAACGGAGGTAAGAAAACAGTCGAAGGTTAGTCCCTGTGCAGGTGCATTATGTTCCTGTTTGACATGACACCAATGATGCATCCTCTCTTCTCAGGCTACCTGTACTTTTCATATGGATCCACACAGACAGAGTACCACTACCAACGAAGAAGAGCAATTAAAACTCGGCTGAACAAGGAATGGATGGATTGCTAAAGAAGAAAAGAACCAAACACACACACACACGCATACACACAACTGTAAGCATGCTCAGAGAAGTTATTCTGACTGTAGCTTATTGCAGCTTTTTTAAAAATAGAAATATGCAGGAAATAAACACATATAACACTCTTTTAACCATGCCACGGGGAGCAACTGCTTGTTGTGGTGTTCATTGCTTTTACTTGGACATGCAATAATTACCATGGTTTATTAAAGCTTGATAAGTGAAAACAAAACCAAATGTGAGTTCAAATATTTTAACATGCAGTAGAATAGGTGGCAGTGTGTGTGTGTGTGTGTGTGTGTGTGTGTGTGTTCAGTTGGCTGGATTGGAGGACACATTGCAAAAAAAAAAAATAATAAAATAAAAAATGTTGTGCGGTGAACTGTGTGCATGCTTTAGCTAACTCGGTGGAGATATGTAATATTTTATTTTTTCACTGGTAGCGGAAATAAAGCAGCAGTAGAATCACAGAACGGGCCCAGCCTTACATATCTACTCGCAGAACCAGCAGTTCTGGTGCTGACATACCTTCGGTGGGTCCTGCAAAAAAATAAACCGGTGTTGTAGTTTTATTGATAGAACTACAACACCCACCTACCCACCACATCCTGACGTCACGGCACACACCTCTCACTGTGATTGGCTGAGGCGTTTATCCCTCCGCTGCTGAAGGTGAAGCGGCTCCCAGTGTTTGAGCTCCTGTCTTGACTCCCGCTCCAAAATGTCATCCAGCGGACTTTTAAACACGAACGCTCGGCTCTGTAAACGCCTGGTAAGTGACGTGCGGAGGACAGTCTGCGTGGGTTTGTCTGTTCTGTGCGTTCTGGCTCGTTGTAGCTCGTTGTGGCGGCAGCAGGCCCCGGTTCACCGGAGCAGCTCCGCCAGCGCTGCTGTCTGTGGAGCGTCCTTGGCCGGAGGAATGTGGAAACAGCCGAAACCTGCAGCAGGTGGCTCACAGGGTGGAAGTCCGAGTGTTTCATGTCACTGAACGCGTCTTTCTCCAGCGTGGAGC